AGGTCGCAAAAGAGGATCACATGACTCCGGGACACGGCGACCGTCCTAAATACGAGTCAGTTGCCAAATGTCTGAATTTTGATCACGTGACCACGGGGATGCTGCAACGGTCCTAAGTGTGAAAAATGGCCCTAGGTCTCTTTTTTCCAGTGTTGTAAGTTTGAACTGCCATTAAATGAACTGTTGTAAGTCAAGGACTACTAATATCTGCATTGAGAATGCCTCTGTATCAACACAAAAAGGAAATGAAAAGAAAACAGAGGGGGGGGGGAATAACACAATAAGGGAAATAACTCTGCAAAATGTAAACTATTTTTGCACTTTGATGGGCAAAACAGACATTTTCCCTCCAATACATTCATCATGAATTACAGTTTTCAAATTTAAATTAAAGCTTTCCTGTGGCTTTCCCATCATCTCTCCCCACTCGCTGGGGATGATGGGAGATGTGGCCTTTGCAGTCATGGGGTGAGTTTTCAGTATATTTACAGTCAGTTAGATTCAACCTCTAGCATCTGGGGCCACCCTTTCCCTCCACCGGGATACTCCTAAAGGGCCACCCAGCACCTTCCTGCGGGGTCCAAAGCTTGATTTTCATATTGGGAGGATGAGAGAGAAAAAGAGAATGAGAGGGACAATAAGAGACAGAGAGAGAATTAGAGAATTAGAGAGAAATAAGAGACAGAATGAGAGAGAGAATGAGGGAGAAAGAGAAAATAAAAGACAGAATGAGAGAGAGACAAAGAGAGAGAATAATAAGATACAGAATGAGAGACAGACAATGAGAGACAGAGAGAATGAGAGACAGAAAGAGAGAATAGGAGACAGAATGAGAGAGAGAGAGAGAGAGAGAGAGAGAGAGAGAGAGAGAGAATGAGAAAGAGAGAGAGAGAAATGGAGAATAAGAGACAGAATGAGAGAAAGAGAGAGAAACAGAATGAGAGAGAGAATGAGAGAGAGAAAAGGGAAAATGAGAAAGAGAAATGAGAGAAAGAGCAAGAGAAGGAGAATAAGAGAATGAGAAAGAAGCAGAGAGAATGAGAGAGAGATAATAAGAATGAGAGAATGAATAAGAATGAGAATAAGAGAGAGAATATGCGAGAGAACAGAATAAGAGAGAATGAGTGAAAGAGAAATGAGAGAGAAAGAGGAAGAGAAGGAGAGAATGAGAGAGAAAGAAGCAAGAGACAGAATGAGAGCGAGGGAGAATGAAAGAGAGAATGAGAGAAAGGGAGAATAAGAGACAGAAGCAGAGAGAGAGAGAATGAGAGAAAGAGTAAGAGAAGAATAAAAGAATGAGAGAGAAAGAAGCAGAGACAGAATGAGAGAGAGAGAATGAGAGAAAATGTGAGGATGAGAGAGGATGAGAGAGAAGGAGAATAAGAGAAAGGGATTGAGACAAAGAAAGAGAGTGAGGGGTAGAATAAGACAGAATGAGGGAGGGAGAGTCAGAGCATGAGAGAGAGAATGAGAGGGAGAGGGAGAGAGGGAGAGATGGAGAGATGGAGAGACTGGGAAATTAAAGCGAAGATAAGGATGCCTCCCGTCCCTCGTTAAACGGACGGAAAGGGGGAGGGCTGCAAGGGTCGAAATAACCCATAAAACAAGCCATCTCGTTTTAGGACGCAGCAGGGAGACGGGTGGAAGGCGGCCGCCTGTAAATCAGATCAAAGAGCCTTCACATTTGGTTCTACAGTCCGCTTCAGTCCTCAACGTTGTTTTTTTTCTTCCTAAGGCGGGACTAGAACTCACCGTCTCCTGATATTTGCCCCCGACTCACCCAGCCGACTTTCATGCCTAAGGTGGTACTAGAACTCACCGTCTCCCAGCGTTTGGCTCAAAGTCACCCAGCCGGTTTTGATACCAAGGTAGGACTAGAACTCACCGCCTCCTGGCGATTAAAGTCACCCAAGTGGCTTTCATGCCTAGGGCGACACTAGAACTCACCGTTTCCGCACTTTCTAGCCCCGGTGCCTTAACCACTAGACTAAACTGCCTCTTTGGGTTTAAAACAGAACGGGGCAATTTCCCCAAATAATACTTTTGCATCATGGATGTGTTTGTTCATCTCTGCGCCATAACAAAATTTGGAGGGGAATATCTTGATTAGGGAGGGAGAAGAAATTTAATTAATTTAATTGCACAAACAGCCTTAGCAACAGGTCCGATTTGCGCTGGATATTTGCACCCCGATCCCCGTTGGTAGTCCCCCTTTTCTGCCCCTGAAGCTGCAAAGAAACCAAATTGCTGCCGTTTTCCAAAAAGAGGGCCGTCTAAACCCGGCGTTTCTCGACGCTTTTGCGTGCAAAATCTGCGCAGATTTACAAAAGCGGGGCGAAAAACGCCGGATTTTTAACCGCCTGGCGCTCCCGAGACGATTTGAAAGCTCCGCGATTTGCTTATGTTGGTTCCAGCAGGGTGCGTTTAAACCGAATTAAGCCTCCAACGATTCGGTTTACGAAGGCCTGGTGAGGACCCTTTCCACAGGGCAATTTTTTTTTTAAAGTGTAAAAATTTAACAACGGAATTTAAAAACCTCTGTTCCTGCAAAAGTGAAATGTAACACTTTTAAATCCCCTTTACTCACAATTTTATATATATGTAAATATTTCTCTGTGGCCCTGTTTCGAAAAACGCAATATTTTAATTGCATACACGCATCATTCATGAAAACAATTCTCATCAGCGTGTAGATAACTCGTCTCCCCCCCCTACATTTGAGCCATCATTCCTACGTCTCTCATACTTAAAGGTGTTTGAAAACACGTGTGTCATATCTGGGGCGCCCTGAGAGAATCCAGAACGCCCTTTCGGGCACATTTGGCAGCCGACTCGCGTTTATTGCAACATAACGTGTGAAATACCTTTTATGAAGTTCTTTTTAAAAAAAAATCTTTGTGAGCCGCTCGGAGTCACTGAGAGCAAACTGGGCGGCATATATATTTTCTTAAATAATAATTTAAAAAGCCCTTTAAAATAACCAGAGATGGATCGAGGTGAAATTTGAATAGATCCGAATAAGGAGAAGCGCTGGGAAAGCGAGGCAGCCTTAAATATATTGCATTTTAATAATACATTTTAAAAAAAACCAACCTTGACTACTCTCACAGGTGCAGACATTAACTCCCAAGATTTAGCCTGAGGAATTCTGGGAATTGAAGTCTACATCTTTTAAAGAGAACAATTTTTTGGGGGGGGAGAATGGACATAACGTTAAAAGGATAAAAGAAGGCAGGTGAATTTTATACGGAGACCTTATCAAGTGGAAGAGTTCTGCCTGGACTGTACCATTCACGGAGTTGGACTCGGGGGGGGGGAAAGGAAA